AAAGAGGAAGTGTGTGTGTGTGTGTGTGTTTTGCGTGTTTGCTGGTGGGAGTGATTATATGTCTGCATGGGTGCATGACAGAGAGAGACAGAGACAGAGTGTGTAGCTGTGTGTGTGTGTGTGTGTGTGTGTGTGTGTGTGTGTGTGTGTGTGTACATTTAGGTGTGTGATTGTGTGCGATTCCCGACTTTCTTTCTGTCATTGTGATTGATACTTCTAACACTGACACCATTTTAGAAAAAGAGTCTCTCTCCCTCCATCTCGCTTGCTTACTATATTGTGTGTGTGTGTGTGTGTGTGTGTGTGTGTGTGTGTGTGTGTGGGAGGAAGGGGTTATGGGAAAGGGTCATCAGTGGGAACTGAAGTGACGGACAGCTGGCAGGACTGGCAGGGCGGCCGAGCAGTAAGGGGTGAAGCAGTGCTGTCAATCCAAAATAAAACAACAACACATACACTAAGAGGGGCTTTTATTGTGGCGGGAGGAGGGCTTTTATTGTATAAATATCTCTTTTATGAGAAAGACAAACACAAAGCTGCACATGTGAGTTTGGGTGCAGCAGCACGATTCACATCCAGTGCAGAGGACGGTTTGGAGGATGAAGCCTGATTAGAATAACTTTTATTAAAGTCCTGTAGTGTCCAGAATTGTTCTTGTCTTTTGATGGGGGTGTAATTTCCAGAAGGGGTGAGTGTAGTTAGCCTGGTGAGCTAACTGCTAATTATGGATATAAAACAGATATGATAATAATAACACTATCACTGCAGTTTGGACGTTGTTCTTAAGTTTGGTCATGAACACATACAAAACATTATTAAAGCTCCTAAACTTACAGCTCTGGAAACAGAAAACCTGCTGTTGTCTTAAATCAACACGACAGCCCCGTAGCACTTATAACTTTGTTAGAATTTTATATCAGTGCTTCGATAAATCTTCTAAAAGACATGAAAAAGTCAGAACAATTCAACATGTGCAACCAGTTAAGTTAAAAATATCTTGTATTTAAACAGTAAAAATGGTTTTTGAGTCACCTTTTCATTCCCTATAAGCTGCATAATTAAAACCAACAGACAACACAAACTAACTTGTCTCTCCACAACACCTAAAAGAAGCAGATTTTTAAATGACAACATTAAATACAGAAGTAAATGCACCATGATTCCAACAAGAAGCGCAGAGAACGGTGGTCCTACTGGTCTAACTGGTCTAACTGGTATCTTCTCCACAGCTGCACTACAGATGCATTCAGGTTTCCTGTTAAATGTGGAACTTAATTTGGAAAATAAAGCCACAGCTGAATAAAACAACATCTAATGTAAGCGTTAAAGCTTCAGCGGCTTCAGGCTGAACATGCACAGAGCTGATCACCACCAGGTGTTTCAGACGGACGCCATCAGGTCTGTTTCTTTACCTCCACAGGTTTTGGTTCAGTTGATATTTCCAGTCAAATTAAAAAAAGCATGTCAGTGCAGTCACACCTCCTGACTGCAGCAGGTTTAATTACCTTCATCACATCTTTGCCAGAAGCAGAAAAAGCCTCATATGGACAAAGTGAGAGAACCAGCGCGGCTCAGAGAATCACCTCGAACACCTGAACTTCACTGTAAGTCATAAACAAGATGTGAAACAGGTGGTTTAAAGATTAGAGGCGTTTGACCCGAGGCTCCTGGTCTGATCCAGCACTCTGAACGCTCTCCTGCCGAGCTGCCAGCGGATCAGACCCCAACCGGAGAAACTCTAGATGTGGAACATTCAGCCTCGACATTAAGCCCGTCGTGTCTGTCAGCGCCGCGGTTTCCATCTGGACAGAAACATCGCAGAACGTTGGCAGGTTCCAGCTCCTACACCGAGCTGAGGTTCTGGCTGCTAACGAGTGCAGTGACATTAATATATGTGGTGATCAAAATCAAATCTAGAACCCAGATCCTTCTTCAGGGAGCTCTGTGTGTTTTTCCACCTCTGACTGAAACGTCAGCATCTCGTTCCAAATGCAAGAGAAACTGAGATTTATTTTATTACTGTTGTTGTTTTATTGATCATTTCTAGTGCAAAAGGAAATATGAATGTATGAATGTGGAGATGCTGATTATAAAGCTTCCTCTTCATGTTTTACCTTTAAACTTTGATTTTTACTTGTTTTTATTTTCACCAAAGTGTTCTAACTTTGCTTTCATGTCAATGTGGTGACTTTTTATGTGTTTTCCTTCATGTATTTATGCATCATGTCTTTCTCTCTGCTGGTTTGTTTCAGTGTTTGGTGTGTCTCATCTTTTCTGCTCATCCCAACCGGTTCAGTAGGACGGCTGCTCTCCCTGAACTGGTTCTGCTTTGAGGTTTCTTCCCGCAAAGTCCATCCATCCATCACCTCTACCCCTTCATCCTCACCAGGGTCATGGGGGGCGGAGTCTATCCCAGCTGACTCAGGGCGAAGGCAGGTTCACCTGGACAGGTAACCAGTCTATCACAGGGCTACACTTAGAGACAGACAACCAAGCACACTCACATTCACACCTACGGACAATTTACAATCACCAATTAACCTCAGCATGTTTCTGGACTGTGGGAGGAAGCCGGAGAACCCGGAGAGAACCCACGCTGCACGGGGAGAACATGGAGACTCCACGCAGGAAGATCCCGGGTGTCCTCACCGGGATGTGAACCGGCGACCTTCTAGCTGTGAGGTGCTAACGGTGCTAACCACTGAACCACCTGCAGCTTTTGGAAAATAAATCCTCTGGTTTCTGTCCACAATATTGTAAAGTCTTGACTTTAACATTCCAGTTAATCAGCTAAATGTGTTCTGCTCATCTTTAACTTCAAATGGAAATCACTTTGGATCATCTTCTGTTGTTTTACATAGAAAAAGGTGACTTCACATATCCACTACTGTATCTGTATATCACACACACACACACACACACACACACACACACACACACACACACACACACACACACACACACACACCACTGCCAATGCAGACAGAGCCTTCCTTGTTTCAAGCCAGATGCCTGCATGTCTTCCTTTTCAAACAGCCACTCTGACCCCCGGGAGCTGACCTCTGCAGGGGTCAGAGGTCGTCGTCCTGGCCTGCTGCTGTTGCCACAGTGATGAACGGCATCCTGGGCGTGAGCCAGTGTGTGTTGAGAAAGAGAGGGAATTTATCCGCCAGAATCTGTGCATGTGTTTGGCAGCGTTTTGACACGACGTAGATTTAAGAGCAGCGAGGGGAGATAGAGAATCCCACAGTGTGTGTGTGTGTGTGTGTGTGTGTGTGTGTGTGTGTGTGTGTGTGTGTGTGTGAGACTTTGTTCCGTTCATAATCTGGAACAGAATTCTGATAATTTAATTAGAAACATGGCAATCTGATTACGAGACAGCAGCAGGTCCTGAGTGTAAATGGGCCACACACAGAGCTGGGAGTCCCACACACACACACACACACACACACACACACACACACACACAACATAACTCCTACAGAACAACAACATGTACACACACATGGACCGACAGGGATACAGAGGGAGTCTGTATCCTCGTCTCCTCGGGGGTTAATTTGCCTCCGGCCAGAGGAATGGCATCACCGGGGGGTCGGAGGTCGTGACACCGGGGGTGGTGGTGCTGTATGTGTGTGCAGAGGCAGAGGAGGAAGGTAGTCTTTGTCGGAAAGAAATCTATCTCGGTGTTAAAAGTTTGTCAGCGAGCAAGAAAGCAGCTTCACTCACGTAGATCATGTAATGGCTTTAAACGTATGACTGAACAGACACACCTGGATTCATGGTGGAGACGGCTGGTTTTGAGGTTCTTCTACAGTGAAGGAACACAAGAAATCACAGAGCAGTCATTCACTTTTTAAACGAAACAGATGTTTTACATGCATGTTTCTTATGTGTTTGCGTCTTTTCAAATATGTTTTGCGATATTCCAAAGTTGAAGGAGGCGTTCATTGTTCTCTTGGCCTCCAGGCGGCCGAACAGGAAGCACACGACCACAGCATCTCCTCATATCGGTGGTAGAGTGAACATGTTCTCTAACACATCCAGATACACGACAGGGACGTTAAGGACACGTTTACACGTAGCCGGGATTCACAATAACAGATCTACACTTTCTAAAATAACATCGTTCACACCAGAAAAAACATCTTCATTTACACAAACCCGCATAAACACGTGGTTCAGAGCTGCTATGAGCTGCTAGACCTGCAGGGGGCAGTGTAATGAGAAGCATGCTAGCCAATCAGAATCCTGGAAAAAACAACAACGAAAACTTCCTGGTACTTCAGTGATACTGGGGTGGTTAGTTTGGACCGTCAGAGGAGTGGAGCTGCTCCTACATGTGCTGATAGAGACACAACGAGGATAAAACATTGACTTTCTATCGCATGGTCGCACACGTATGACGCTGATGACACTTCAGTCGCTCACTGTGACGTCAAACTCTTCCTCCTGTCTACATGTAAACTAAAGATGGAGTTTCCAGATCTGATCTGTAGCTCGTAGCTTCGTTTACGTGGAAACCAGAGGACCAGTGACGTATCACCGTTTGTGCTGCCTGTAAACGGGGCCTACAGCAGAGGAAGGCAGGTTTTTTGGGGTGCGACACTGAGCAAATATTCCACAACAACATTTCAAGCAGTCTGACAGGAAACCAGACTTCTGAGCCTCCTTTTAGCTTCACTTTCAGGCTTCAGAAAATCCAGCCTGTGATGGAGACTTGAACCAATCACAGGTCTTCTCACCAAGAACTGGTGAGAAACTACCAAAGTGGGAATAAAATGTGGTGCACTGGCTTAGACAGAAGACTTTCACGGGTTTAAACGTGGGTGAAGCTTGACTGTCGCCTGTTTGATGCCTGTGTTCATGGTCAGACTAAGAACTGACTGGAGAGGAAGAGCTGCAGGAGGAGGGCTGTGCTTTCAGATACTTTTCTTTTTCTTTTGCAGCTTTAGTTTTGAATTGAACTCTAGTTTAGTTTCCACCGTCTCCTCAGACAAATATCTTCCTCTTTAGCTTCTAAATGCTGGACTATGTTTATTAAATAGATGCTAACTGTGCCGTATTTTATCTTATTGCTGTAAACACAAGTCTTAAGGCACTAAAAGTAACCACAGAACTGATGAGAAGCATAAAGTAAAAAAACTTCTCTGATGGTTTGGTGCTACAAGCAACACCTTGTACATAATTAGTCATTTATGTTTTATTGGCATTATTACTTATTATAGTAGATGTGAAGCTGTTTAAAGATCACGGCCAAAAGAAATCAGACTGTCATCAGGATGAACTGCAGGCTTTGCTGGACATCCCACCGTTACAGGTTTAGCAGCGGTTCAATGACAAAACGCTGCTTCTAACAAACAAACAGTGTTCTGGTGAGAACAGTCTCCGTTTAAAACACACTACACAAATAAAATGGCCCAGCTCCACAGAACATTATGTTCTTTAGGTGGGACGTCGCCGAAGCAGGAAACAAACTCAGCTTTATGTTCTGCATTGATGTGATTTAAGATAAAACGAGATCTTTTATTAAACCTAAAAAAGGAGTTTTGGTGCCTAAATTGAACAAAGTAGTTTTGCAGAAAAACAAAAAACAACAACTGGAAACACCATAAATCAGTGAAAGTCTTGTGTTTCTGCCACCTCGACTCCTCCAGCTGCTTTTTATTCCTAAAGTCACATCACATAGACGCAGGCCGGTGCACAAAGAATAAGTGGAAAAACTCTTTTCTCTCCATTTTCAGCTCTTATTATCAAACTGCTATGTTTTACCGCTGAACAGCGTCGATCACATCATTTGATTTACTCACAATAACGCCCGCCTTCACCCTCATAGAATAAAATATCCTTCATTAGTGCAACAAGGGGAAATCTGCAGCGTCACAGCAGCAAAAAGGCGAGATATGTCCACTATATATACACACTAGAAATAAGAAAAACAGAAGAACACACGGATACCAGGAACACAAGTTTAACAACGAGATGCAGGAGTTACAAACACGTCGGCTCCACCTGCTTGGAACAAGATTTCTGAGTTGTTTTGCTCCTGAAACCCTTTGTGAGAGAGAAAAAAAAAAAAGTCTAATTCAATTAATCCACGACGCATATCTCCTCTATTCAGTAAAACCAGTGGATCTCATCATCACTCACTCATAGCTGCAGCCATTTTGTGTGTCACGCTGCCTCAATGAATTGTGGGAGCAGGATGAATGCTGATGGTGATGCGTGTGTGTGTGTGTGTGTGTGTGTGTGTGTGTGTGTGTGTGTGTGTGTGTGTGTGTGTGTGTGTGTGTGTGTGCAGCACATTAGAGGCTGGGAGGAATAGAAAGCCTCCAGCCATTAGCTACCTAACACACCCTCTGCTTCCTGGAGGGACACGAGCAAAGACAGAGTGAGACAAAGAGACGAGGACGGAGAGGAGCTGGACGTATTCCTACGAGGAGAATAAAAACATACTCACAACCCAAAGGATGTGCTGCCATGTCCCACACAACTTGTTTAATCGTAACTTCAAACCGTAACATTTGTATTAAATAGACGATGTGGTGCAGACGAGTTCAAACAGGAAAACATGACGTGTCTACGTGTGTTTGTGGAACAACAGATTGTGTTTTCCATGTCCTTCATTCCTGTTTAGCCTGTTAGCTTGTTTAGCAGTAGCGATGGGGATTTCAGTTCTTTAAAGGGAGCCGCGGCTTTTAGTGTTCAGTTCTTTTTCTAGAGCTATTAAAAAACCATCTCTTTGGTTGGACTGCAGCATGAATCTCTGTGGGCCCTCTCCCAGGGCGTCACATTCTGACATTTTAAGCCATTGGTGTGCACAGGGGGTCCTCTGGTGTCTAGTATCCGACTCTGTTAGACATAAAGGAATATTTCCATGTTTAAAGTGCAGCATGAGGAGGTTTGGTGGTGTTGGTGTAAGTCATGAGACTGTAGGGTCTTAACATTTAAATAAATCTGGTAAACTGAAGCTTAAATCTTCTTTCTCAGTGACTGCTGCTTTCAAAGTGTGAAATCAATAAAGGTGGTTTGACTGGAGCTCGACGAGAAGCAACACCACAACTTCTAGTCAATGTTTCTGAACACAAACTGAGATCTAAGAAGTTTTGAAACTATTAAATCCATCCAACTGTTGTACAGATATTACACTCAAACCCCCAAAACAAGCTTCTCGTGGCACTAGAAGAATAATTAGGAATCTACCAAAGTCAGTAGGAGTCATCCTGTCCGACCATAAATATTCTTCACACCAAGGTTTTCAGGATTTTTCATGTGATATCAAACACAATAACTTCACATGATGACACTAGAAATAAAGTCATCCTCTAGAAGCCATGAAGGACTAACAGTCTGTTAAAGCTCCTTTTGTAATAACAGTTGCTGGGACATTATATTCCAACACTTCCTCTTGTTTTAAGCAGCGTCACCAGTGTGGCCACCAAGCAGACGCATTCTTGAAGCTTCATCTTTATTAAACTGTCGACGTTCTTCTCCTCTGTCAACCTTAATGTGAAGAGAACTTTAGTTTTAGTTTAGTTTATTCTCCCTACGCTTACCGTGCAGCGTTCACAAACCCATATTGCATGTTAACTACTGAGTCGAGGGTTTTAGCAAACCATAAGGACCCGCTTCGGTCTTCCAGCCACCAAGAGGCATCAAAGCATCCAAACTCCATCCTACTAACCGGATAGGGAGTGGGCTTAATGTAGAGCAGCGTTAAAGGCCTTTTTTTCTGCTTCACTGGGAAAACATTGAACAAACATTGTGAATGTGAATGAACACAATCTACTGAGCTGATGCTAAATGGATGGTAAGGAACACACTCTGTTCTTAGACATGTTCGAGGTGGAGCTCCAGCCACGGCGGTCTGGATGTGCTTCTTTAGGGCCAAACACCTGCAGACCTTCTGTTTAGTGTTCGCTTTGTTTTGGATTTAATTCAATCTGACAGCGAAGCATCAAAAACTAAATTTGGACCCTAACTTATCTCTCTTCCTCTGAATTTGGTCGTTTATTGCACAGATGGCTGGATGTTTAGTATTTATAGCAACCGCCAAAGTCTCTGTCTGCAAATAATGATATTTTCTAAAGCCCGTTTCAGAGGAGACAGAACTTAAAGAGCATCAAACATCGATATGAATGAATGTGTAAAGCTCCATACCTGATTCAGATCAAAGACAGAGCAGAGAAAGATTAACAGGATAAATCTAGACTCGTGTTCTTTGGCTATTGACATGTTTTCAGGTTCTTTCTTTAAAGCCTCCCAGTCGTCCCGTTTCTGATCCGGCCATAAGTGAGCTATTGATCCGTGCGTTGAGCATCGACGTGTGGTCCAGATCAATGATCATCTCCTCAAAATCCTCCAAGTGGGGACGAGAAATTGACATCCAGGTGGAGAGCTAATGACATAAATGTATTAGTAACGATATTGTAAATCAGAGCGAGGGCAGAGGAGAGGCACCGAGAGATGGGAGGAAAAAAATCAAAGAGCATCGACGCCTCCCAGAATAAATGGCATTAATGTTTAAGTAACAGTATTACACAGAGAGCGAGGTGGGGGTTTAAAATCAAAACAGAGCAGATGGAGGGAGGGCAAATAAAGTCATAAAGGAATATTAAAAAAGGCTGTCAGCACCACACACCAGAGGATGGCATCAATACGTGGACATATTAGTCTAAAACCAGTCATTCCTGCTGTAAGTATTCTCTCTAACAGTATCCAGGTTTTTGATTTTCTGCGACTTCTTTGTCCCTTTAATGGAAAACAAGACCGATGCTTTCTGGCTCAGCTTCTCTAAATTAAAGATTTACTCATATTGGAAATGATATGACTTCAGGTAGAGACCAACACACCTAATGTGGCGTCCATGTGAACTAAGTGGGGATCAGGGGACAGAAGGAACAAGTGTCCAGCCGGGGAGACAAATCGACAGCTCGGCGCTCTATTGACGTCTCATCAGACAAATGGCATAACTGTATTGGTAGCAGTATTAGGGCTTCACCCTCATGTCACGCTTAATGAAGCTGGATTGATGCTATATGAACTGGTATCGATGCACAAACCGCACGGTCCTGTTCTCTTAATTGCATGAAAAGCGTATATTTCACAATTTACGTCTGAGTAGTGTTACTGTGGCCAAT